AGTCCAAATTTTGGAGGTCGAGCGGTTCCTTATATGACGCTATATAAACCGCTCCACGCCGTTTATATAAAATGTTAAAATAAAATGTTAATAAATGTTACTAAAATGTTGTGACTTTAGAAATTCCTCTGTTGTTCAGCTCTAAAATTATACTAAAACAATTATTCGCCTCAGGTTCGGTGAATATTGTCGAATAATCCCTTCGAGTTCGTCTCGGGGATTATTGGACGATATTCACCGAACCTGAGGCGAATAACTGTTAAATATATATATAGATATATATATATGATGCAATGAATATATATGAAGTTCATATATTTTGAACTGCGGTGTTAAATACGTATGATGCACGATCCTTCGCAGTAGATAGCGCTATTTATGCAATAGCGAAAATCAGACCTGAAAAAATCAGGCCTGTACGGGATTCGAACCACTGACCTCTGTGATACTAGTGCAGCGCTCTACCAATTGAGCTAACAAGCCAACTGGGAGCAGGCCGTTAAGTAGATATAGATATATATAATAAATGTTTGAAAAGAAAATTTGCCCTGAGTGGGATTTGAACCCACGTCCCCCTGTTACTAGTCAGGGGTGATGACCACTACACTATCAGGACAACTACGCTGGCAACCCCGCAATCAAAGATGTGATTTACGAGATCGGAGACGTGGTCTCCCGGGAAACTTAATTTTCAAGGTGACAGGGTAGGGGAAGCCTATAACCCCATATGAAACCCAACTAAGGATCTATCGAAGATACACGACCGAAGTCAACTTCGCGGATGACAAAGGAGGATCCAATTACGGATACAGGCTAAATTCAATTTATTGAATAAAGTGCTGAACGGAAAACTGCACTTACAAAAGTTTTTTTAAAAAATCTAAGTGTGCGATAACAATAAAGCAATTCGAACAAAGGCCAAATTTTGCGAGCACTTTTAAATTGTGAATGCGAGCATGCGAGCAGTTACAAAAATTTTGCGAGCACGAGCAAGCGAGCGCCAGTGTAATTCTTTCGAGCAATTCGATTGGTTATACTTCGACACGTGAAAGAGCTGTACGCCATTCTGATTGGCTGTATAGGCTTTTTTCATATGTGAAAATAAAGCGTATAGATTTTTACAAATGAGCTTTATGGAATAAAATTCTCCTGTTATGTGTAATAATTATGTATATTGATATGCATATTTGTCATCTAAATTTATTTTTTTGAGGGCCGTAAGTTAAAAAACTATAATAAGTTGTTGCGCCTCCTTAAGTTATATCGAGCAGGAACATTTTAATTGCAGAGAAATGTTCCGTCTCAAATATAAATAGTGCGGTTTGAAATGAATTCCCCTTGGTGAGCGATTGATTGCCTTGTTCTCAAGTTTTGTGAAATAGAATTATTTTGAACGGTAAAAAACCAAGTTCGCTAACAAAAGATTGCAAGACGCTTATAATTTTCCTAAAAATACTACAGATTTGGGATGCTCTTGGTTTTATATTAACCTTTCATCAATTTCAATTTCAATATTCTCGTAAAAATGTGAGCACAATTGGGTGGAGGACAAAAATAAAAGTCCATTAAAACCAGCTTTTTAGCCTTAAACTAGATACATAAACTCGTTGGTAAACCCTTTAATATTGTCTCATCGCTCTAACAGTGAAGGATGCTTCATCGCTACTAGAACCAGAACATGCACCGTCACTGGCACCAGATTCAGGAGCAAACAAGGTGTTTTTGCTGGAAGCTATCGACAATATCCTGCGGAAACGTGGTTATTCGGCTAATACCGACGAATGCTTTAGATACCTGGTGCAACTACACCAGAGTTGTGACGATAACAACTCGCTTCATAATAAAAGAGAATGCGTCACCATGTGTAGTAAGTTTTATCTCTATTTATGGTTCCAACGAAACCTTGCAAGTACAAAATCACACTTACTGGAAAACATCAGATTCAGAACACTAAGAAAAATACTAATGATAAAGATAATCATGTTTATGGTGATAAAATCATCATAATTTTATTACTATTAATAAGAAAAATAACAATAATAATACGAGAAATTAGCCTTAAATGATAAACTCTTGAACCAAATTCATGAACCAAGTTCATTTCACCGGTCAAAAGCCTCGTCTGTCGGCCAGAATCTTTTCAGTGATGTTTTATCCAATCAGTGGCCACGAAAATTTTATTTGCAATTTCAGGATGACATTAAGGTCAGTGCAACTTATAGGAAATGATATTTTTTGTCACAGTTATTCTAACATTTCTTGATTTCATTATGGAATTCATAAGCAGCTGATTAAAAATACGTATTTGTGAATTTGCTTTTTCCTTTTAGTACCAAGACTAACAGGGGGTCTTTGTTACAAACTCTGGGAGCCGGAGGAATTTGGAGAGGTCAATGTTCAAACTGAAAAGCGCTGGTATTTCAAGTCTGATACTAGCTCATGCTTACAGTTTGATTACGGGGGTTGTCTTGGAAACGAAAATAGATATGACAGTCTGAAAGACTGTATTGTGCAGAACAACTGTAAGTATGCAATTCAAGGTCACTTGATATATCTAATTATACTTTTAGTTGGAAGCTTGACCACCACTCATTCTAGATTTTGCCCAAGGAGTGAGAATTAATTTTATCCCTAGGCCAGTAAATTTCGTTATTCTTCGACGAGTCATTTGTAGATCCTATAGATCCCTGAGGTAAATCTTGTTTGACTTTGATTGCCTTCAAGTAATCGGTTCTCTTTCTCACTTTTACATCGTAAGCTGATGACTAGCGTCAGAGAAGAGCTACAAAAGTTTTATAGGGTTTGAAGTGAAGAAAATAATTACAATACTAAAATGAAGTTTTAGGACCACCTAATGTTTTTTGTTTGAAGTGCCTATTACAGTCCAAAAGATTAACGGCTCATTCTTCGTCCCCCCCTCACGTGCTCATTATTGTAAAGTCCTGAATTATAAAAGTTTACAAAATTACTTTTATTTCATTAAGGAAGTTTTGAGAGAGGGTGGACTTAATTTTTTTTAATAAAGGCTGATAGTTTCGAAAGAAACTGTTTGGGGCTGCGTCGGTGGGGGTAACGAAATAATTTGGATATATCAACAAAGTTGAAATGGTAAATTGGCCACCCTAACGATTACAAAAGCTGACGTTTCGAGCGTTAGCCCTTCGTCGGAGCGAATAGAGGAATTGTGGGTTGTGTGTGCTTTTAAAGGCAGAAAATGGAGCTACGTTATTGGTGGGAAGATGGAAACGAGAAAAACAAGAATAAATTAAATTAGTTTTTCTCGTTTCCATCTTCCCATCAATAACGTAGCTCCATTTTCTGCCTTTAAAAGCACACACAACCCACAATTCCTCTATTCGCTCCGACGAAGGGCTAACGCTCGAAACGTCAGCTTTTGTAATCGTTACGGTGGCCAATTTACCATTTCAACTTTGTTGATATATCCAAATTAATTGTTTTTATATGTTTTAATGTAATTATAACTTATGGGAATGCTTTTAATTAGACTGTGCTATTTTCATCCTGTTTTGCTCTCCACAGTAAAGACACCTCTCTTAGACGATCAAGCTGACAGTGGCTTCGACTTTACACAACCGATAAAGGGAGCGTTAACAAGTAAGGTTTGATTTTTTTTTCTTGCCGTCAATGGGTTTGAAAGAAATCACTTGCTTTTGATCTTAAAGATGAAAACGAGCATAGGAACATGTACTGACGTTCATGTAGGGATCATGTACTGATCATACTTGTGATCTCTATGACTCTAAGCAATGATCAACAACAAATTGTCCCGCAGGCAAGTGATGAGAACATAAAACATAACAGCCTCGCCCGTAAGACGAAAAAGGTCCTATTGGCTATTTCACAATTTAATTTTCTCGAGGCATTTAGCTATTATGACATTCCTAGTCTGTGCTGTGCTCGAGCCAAGTGGCGCCTATTCAGCCTGAGCTTATCCCGGTCTCCATAGTGTGAAGCGATTGGAAGTGTAACTACTTGCCTCTGGATGAACTGCTGGTCCATCGCAAAGTTTCCCCCCCCCCCCCTGAACCGCACAGCATTTTTACACCCGGGTTTTCGTAGTGGCTGTTAAGGCGCATGTCAGCTATTTTATTTCAAAATGTGGTGGAAGGCAATCAAAAGGAGCTGAGAGAAAGGGCTCAAAGTATTTCACCTCTGGCAGATAACAAACTTCAAAAAATTTATCAGATAGAAGATATAATAAATGAAGTTTCAAACAAGTTTTAAAATAAACAGATTGAATCCCTTTTCAAAACAAATGAAGTGTTGAAGACAAAAAGTCCAAATTTTGGAATACTGTCAAGGTAAATAAGACGGAAATGCTACTGAAATGTTTTACATATATAGAAGTAGCAAAAATGTACCAAAACTTATCTGGGAAAGGGCTCCATCCACCTGTTTCCCTCATTTTGTCATTTTTTTTAGCCCTCTTCAAGATATAATTGTAATTACTTTCGCAACGGCGTCTTTCTTTAGGTGAATACCCAGGTTATGGTACGTGCTCAGTTTTTGGAAACGGATACTTCAAAACCTTTGATGACGTAACGTATGCCTTTCACGGCAAATGCAAGTACATCCTGTTACAATTGGAGAATAATCCCGACGATTTGAAAGTAATCTTAGAGAACGATTTCGAATGCGACCCCACGCAAGTGTGCCAGAAGACTCTGCTTCTTTATGTTCACGGCGTGAGCATCGAACTTGGTCCTAAGAAACATGGAGAGTTCGATGTCAAAGTTGGAGGCTCTCCAGTGGAAATTCCACACAGAGATGTGACCAAATCAGTATACATCAAAGCTCTAGTATGTAGCCCCTTGCATTTATTCATTCGCGATTTTTTAATAGGCTGGCCTTCTTCAGCTTAAAGCTGGTTTAAACGGGGGCCTGTATACTTTGTAAACAATCTAAAGGCCAGACCAAAATACTGGGACATACATTCCCTACTCGATATGAAAAGTGCATGAGCTAACCAAGGGACCTAATGAGTAAATAATCACACATTGTTTATTTATTTCCCTTAGAAAAATTCCGCTAGGGTGGGAAAAATCAATGATTCAAAAGATTTTTCTTTCAATGTAGGTTTAAAAAAGGTCGTATGCCCTTAGCACCCTCGTGAAATTATCTTAGAAAAAGACATAGAGGTTATTCCATGGAAAGTGCGTACGAAGGATTCTTATCCACTCGTTGCGATACATCTCAAATAACGAACAAATGAGTGCAGCGGACGAGTGAGTTTTTTGATACATCGCAACGAGTGAATAGGAATCGTTCAAGCACTGTCCATGGTATGATCTTTTTATTTCATATATACTGAGACTTTTTCCTACGGACCGACGCATCTCAGATTGGAAGCGAGCGACTGTAAAATACATCTTTCCAATCAGAGACATGAACGCTTCAATCAGAGACAAGAACGATAGTACTCCACAGTGTAAATCTCAGTATGTATGAAATAAATACATTTCCCAGATCGCTGACCCCAAGATTAAAAATTATCATAAATTCCCCGGTAATATTGCAAAAGCTTTTTGGGGACAATGGGCAACTACAATGCAATTAAAGAAGATGTTTGACGGAGAGGTGGTAAAGAGACTTTTTTCGTGACTAATGAAGAAATGATTCCACTTGCGCCTCTCGCATGCCAGCAAGATTGTTGTAGCCTCCCGGTTAGCTCAATTGGTTAGAGCGCCGGATTGTGTTGTGCGGGAGGTCGAGGGTTCGAGCCCCGGCTGGACCAATACTAATGGTCTTAAAATAACTGAGGAGAATTTGCTACCTTTCTATAAAATCAAGAAATGGATAGATATTCTAGTCTTCTCGGATTAGGACGAATTAACCGTAGGCCCCGTCTCCTGCAGGGTAAGGGGTAGGAGATGTTAATTTCCCACGTACGAGATTACCGTGTGGTAGATGTCCTCCCCTGGGGTGGGGTGGGTGGGTGTTTAATTACTTTGCTCGGCATATTAGCATGTATTGCTAGGGGCCTAATCAACCTCAACAACCTGAGTTGAAGTAAAGTTACTTACTTTACTTAACCAAAGCGGTGCTACCAGCCTCGGTGGCATTCTGCGCGTGGAAAATACATTTAGTTATTTCACATCATATTCAAATGTGAATGAATGAATAAGGGACAGCCAGGAAGAAATAAATGCAACAAGAAAATTAACAACGGGTTTGAAAACAGTTGTCAGAACAACTTTTCTAAAAGTACCTAAAAAAAGAGTAACTTGTTTCGTTTGTAGTTTCCACTTAAAGGTACGAAGGAACATATTGTAGTAACCACGAAAGACAAAGTCATAATCACATGGGACGGAGAAAGATCGGTGGACATCCATCTGCCAGACACAGCCAAAGAAACATGGCACACGTCAGGGCTGTGTGGAAGTTTCAATGACGACAACTCTGACGATATGAAATCCCTTGCAAACGAGATTATGAAAAAGGTGTACGACTTCGCTAATAGTTTCATATACTCCCCTGGTGAATCCTTGTGTAAGTCAGATGAAATTACGTTAAAGGACACCTGCGATGCAAACGAGTCTGTGAAGAGATTGTGCTCAGTTCTGGACACGAAAGACTTTGAGGCCTGCCATAGCGTGGTGGATCCTACAATCTTCAAAGAAATGTGCCTATTAGACGTGTGCGCTGCTAGCAAGACACCTAAGCTCATGGAAGAGGCAAGATGCGCGATTTTGACACGCTACAGTCAATTATGTAGTTGGAATAACACAGAGCTGACCTGGAGATCAGAAAGCCTCTGTCGTAAGTGAAACGTATTATGCATTACTGTCAGTCAGTCTTTCTGTCAGATAATGGCAAATCGGTCTTTGAGATCTCCTGGCCATCTTGCCAGTGCTGTGGAGAGTGACTAAAATTAATTTTCAAGGCAATTTCTAGAATGCACAGTCATGCTGACTTTCATGCAAAAACCTTCTAGAACCTTTTATCAGGTTTTGTTGTCATAGCACCGAAATAGTTATGTTGTAAGCTTCTGAAAAGTTCCGGTATAATTGGTAGAGCGCTGCACTAGTATCGCAGAGGTCAGTGGTTCGAATCCCGTACAGGCCTGAAATTTTTTTCAGGTCTGATTTTCACTATTGCTCAAACAGTGCTTTACTGCGAAGGATCGTGCTCATATAAGTTCCGGTATACTTTGAAAATGTGGAATCGGTCCTGTAATAGTTGTAGGTGTTGCTTTACTGTTTGAAAAAGCTATACCAATAGAGAGGACTGTTTTGGAAGATTGTTAATTTTAAGGAACTTTGGTGAAAACTGTCAGTTTGTGCAGTGGTGAGCTAAGATGAAGTTTGTAGAGGGCTTAGTAAGTTATCCAAGATAGTTACTGTATTTCTACTGGAGTCGCTCCTTACTACGAATATTACACGTCATTTGATAAAGTAGTTGAGTTTTCAAGATTGCAGTGATTTTCTGTCGGTTGAATTATTCCGTAACATCAGCCAGCCAGCAAGTAAGTGACAATCAGTTGGTTGGTCGGTCGGTCGCAGCTCGATCAGCCACTCAGGATTTAGGTCAGCTAATCAGTCAATCGGTCTTTGATTTTAATAGATTTCCTGACCGGTATTTAGTCAGCCAGTTAATGAGTCTGTCGGTTGGTTGGTCGGTCGGTTGCAGCTTAATAACTAGTCAGTTAAGGAATTTTCAAAGAATTCGTCCGCGCTGACGAATAGGTTTGCTATTGCATTTTAAGCTTTCTGAAGAGTGTCATTTTCTTTCGCCACTCAGCGAAAACCTGTCCAGAAACTATGGAGTACAGTGAATGCGCCAGTGGATGTGCTAGAACCTGCAAAAAAAATGCACCAAAATGCACAACTAAATGCCTACCAGGCTGCACTTGTCCCCCCGGGTTGTATCACGACGGGTTGAAGTGCGTGGAGCAGTCTAGTTGTTCCTGTTACCACGATGAGCGGCGCTATGAACACGGAGAAGTTCGTCGCGATATCTGCGAAGCCTGGTAAGCTGAATAGTTCTTAAGCAGGCTATCAGGGCCGTAGCTAGCACCAGGCAAGACGAGGCAATTGCCTCGTCTTAATTTTGGCCTTTTTCATTTTTTTTTTTTAAAGATTGACTTTTCTGAAGAAAAATGCCACAGAAAATCCTTAAAAGAGCATTTCTAAACCTCTAGATTTCAAAGTTTTCTGGGGGGCATGCCCCCAGACCCCTCTAGCGGCTCGCGCCTTCGGCACTCGAAACTTGCCTGGTCTTGTCCTGAAATCTAGCTACAGCCCTGGCTATCTGTTTTTTTTTTCATTAATTTGAGAAAGAATTGACTCCCTAATGGTGACTAATTAGGGTTTGAACTGAATAATTTACATTAAATTTACATTAATAATTATAACTATGTGGGCAATCTACAAAATGTGCGGTTGTATCGTATGATAAACATTGACTACAGGATTTATTTTTCTAATATCACATTTCATTTTGCAGTATTTGAACTCTTAACTTACGAAGAACTGAATGAACATCTTATCGATCGCAAAATTCTTGTGCGAACTTGACGAAAACAACACGTACGAAAACACAATTAGACTAGGCCCAAAGTTGTTCATTGATATTATGGCTGCCGTTATCGTTTATAACTCGTGCCACGCAATTTCGCGGTGGGGTCGCGAGTAGGAGATAGCTATTTTGATCCATTCTGTCCCGGCATAAGGACACTTTCGAGCCTCATTAAAAGTTCGTTTCTTAAAACGTCACGCCTAAAGGTCAAAATTAATTCAGTGTGTATGTTGTTTAAATTAAGATGAAACAAATTTCTAAAACGCAGTTTACAGCATCTGTTATTCTTAAAGAAATATGCGACTCTCAAAAAAGTCTAACCCTTGGTCATTAATGTGACAATTTAAACTACATTCTGGAGACTCAAATTTTGAGCAGCCAACACATCTATTCCATTTGAGAAGGCACCGGTATTTCCAACAAGGTAACTTATGCTGTTCCGTCAGTCAGGTTATCTATTTAGGATACCACTAGATGTTCATGGTGAACTTTAGTTAATCTGATAGACTGGAAACCCTCATTTCCACACTAATTTAAAGATTTTCATTCGCCTCTTATAACTTTTATTAAAAAATACTTTCCATTTTATAGCCAATGCGAAGGGGGAACGTGGAATTGTTATTCCATTCCTTGTAGAGGTGAGTATTTATTATTATTTTCTCGATGCGTGAGCGGGCGGTATAATTCAAAACCTCTGTTCCGAGAGTGGGCAGTATTCTTCAATCCGGCCCGTTCACGCAGGTGGTATCCTATCCGTTGCGTGTTGAGTCGCCTAGTACATTCTCAGCTCCATTGAAAATTTTTAGAACTGTATACAATTTGTTTCGCAGGTTGGGCAGAATTTATGTGTAGAGATTTCGGTCACGACCTTGGTGATAAATAATTTATTAATTCTCCCCCCCCCCCCTCTCTCTCTCTCTCTTCATCTCTTAAATCACTATGGTTGGTCAGCAAAAATTGCTTTCGACATGAATTTTTTTTTTGTACCAGATGTGTCACGGGAATTCTCTTGGTTTATCAAAAAGACAAGCATGAAGATTTCAAAACATACATCTAAATTTACTTAAGATTTAACTTTCCTTGACAATTAAAACTGAACAGAGGTAATTCTTCGTAAATTAATCGACGTTGGAAGCGAATAATAATACTTTCCGTAAGATCATTGAAGATGAAAAAGTTATTGTGATAATCATTTAACTCGAGTATACTTGCACAACCAGTGCTGTTGTTTTTTCTGATTCGACAAGAGACCTTTTACGAGGTCTAGCGGTCTAGACAAAAATGGGAAAATAAGACTGAAACAATTGAACAAATACTACGGTGTGATAGCAGTACTAAACTATTTAAAATGTGGATATATTTACAGGTGAATGTACGATTTTGGGAAGTACCAATTTCAAGACGTTTGATGGCAAAACATACAGGGTTTTCCCTAAGGATTGCGAGTTTCATTTACTAAAACACAAGGACGGCGAAATATCTGAATTCGATATTAGAGTCAAAAATAAGGATTGCGAGGAGACCATAGCACGTCCGTTCTGCCAAGGTCAAGACATCACTATCCTTTTTGGTAATAATAAAACAGTTGTTACAATTGAAAGGCACCTCAGTTCAGATCCTAAATTCTTGGTCACCCACGGCTCCTTGGATGTAGACATGTCCGTGGAAAAAGTTGGAGGACAGACTGTAGTGTTATCCACTCGCTATTTCCAAATGACAGCAACCAGGCAAAATCTCTTTCTATCCGTGTCTCCTGATCTAAAGAAGCAGACATCTGGTCTCTGCGGCACATTTAACGAAAACAGCAACGACGATTTTTTGAAACCCGACTTGGCGGAGGCTGCCTCTTCGAACGACTTCTTGAAGAAATGGTTGACCATGGACGATGAAAATTCAAAAACATGCACTGGAAAACAATTAGGAGACGACCCTGCTCTCGCTGCTCCCACGCAGATGGATTTCTGCCAACGTAATTCTGAGCTTAAGCCTGCGGCGAAAATGCACGCCGATCTGCTAAGGGCCGTGGATAGTCCTTTTAAAGAGTGCCGGAGACATGTGCAAGACGAGATTTTTTACCAAAATGCCATAGAAGCGTACTGCAGGCACTCTGTTAGTCTCTGCGACGTCATAGCTGGATACGCCAAAGCTTGTGGCGATAAAGGAATTAAAGTGGTACGCTGGAGGCAACGAGCAGAGGTCAAAGGCCTATGTGATGAGCGTACGTAAAGGTTTTATTCTAAACATTTTAAGTTTTTTTCACTTTAGTGTTCAAATGATGGTCCTATACAGGTACATGTAAATTTTTCACTTCAAGAGGAGCGAGATGGTCCCCAGCGTTAAAGTTTTCTAATTGTCCTAACTCTTGATGGGAAATAAAACATTACTTTGCAAAACTCGCCCAAAAACTTGAACTCACGCAAATGGGACCAAATCATTGCTAGCTCTTCCAAAATCCGTTCGATAAAGAGTTGAACATAAAATTTGAAATGAAACACAAACGAGTCAGCCAGTTCATGTATGCCATATGCTAAGATGGGTTTTACTATCCTGCTTTTTTTCTGCTAATTTCTTTTTTTCGTCTTGCAGCGAGTTGTCCATCCAGTGATCAAGAGTTTAAATACTGTTTAGATGCGTCTTGCCCGCAGACGTGTGGGGATGTAAAAAACAAGCAAGCTTGCCAGAAGTAAGTCTCACAACTTTATAGCTTACGTTGTTTAGGTTCGCCTATAAATTGCAAATGCAGGCGAGAACTTACCTTTCAAGGCCAACCTTCAAATACCAGTGGGTATACGGTGGTTCGTGTTGCATCTTCCTTTTAGTCTATTGCATTATCATTGCAGTTTCAATACTTTAACAAAAAAGCCTCCCAGTGGGGTTAACCGTCAAACGTTCAAGACCGAAATCGCAAGGTTCTGTAAACAATAGACCACGCCTTGTAAGGGTTTACCGTCGTAAAAACCCATGCAGGACGTCGGGAGAACACGAGAAACGTTTTGTAAATCCAGGATCAGAAGCCAATCAGGGAGTTCGTAGCATTTCAGTTTATTTTTTATAACCAGCAACATCATTTCATCCGGCCCATTTTAGCTGTCGGATTTCCTCGATAATCTTTATCAATTTAGAAGTAGAAAGGATTCAAGGTATGTCATATCCTCACAGTCGACGTGAACATTGCACAAAGCACATTGCACAAAGCACACTGCACAAAGCACATTGCACAAACACACTGCACAAAGCACAAAGCACACTGCACAAAGCACATTACACATTGCACAAAGCACACTGCACAAAGCACACTGCACAAAGCACACTGCACAAAGCGCACTGCACAAAGCACATTGCACAAAGCACATTGCACAAAGCACATTGCACAAAGTACATTGCACAAAGCACATTGCACAAAGCACATTGCACAAAGCATACTACACAAAGCACAAAGCACATTTGAACAAAGGTTTTCTTACATATTTTCTACTAGTGTAAGACAGCACTGAATTTCTTCAGGAAACAGATGTGGTGAACTGAAAAGGTTTTCGCGATTTGTGAGGGGGTGCCTTTGGCCATTAACCTTTGGCATTAACCGGTCACTCAACCGTCATGCTTACCAAGCAGTTTAGAAACAATTTTTTCTCATAAAGTTCAGTTAGCAATTATTTCTTAAATCATAATGTTATATTTGTAAAAACAACCGTGGCGTTTTGCCGGAGTCCCAACGACTGCTTAAGGAAATACAAAATTCATACGAACTCTTTCTCTCTGTCACCGCTTATGCAATAAAAAGCTGACCATTTGACGAGAAGATTATGAAAAAAAAAAATCAGGTGTGCGGTGCTCCTACACAGATTATCCTCTTTGGTTTATTGCCAGCAAATAATTGTTCGCTTAATTTCTTTTTTTTTCTGTTTAGTCGTGGATGCATAGAAGGGTGTTTTTGCAAAAAGGATGGCATGGTTTTGCGCGGAAATGAGTGTGTCGCAGAAGATGAATGTGCAGGTTAGAGTACTTTACATTAAAGCTTGAAGCAACATTGAATTAAGGTTCAAAATTATAACAAGAGGGGATGAAAATTGCTATGAACGAATGTTATTATTTACATATACTATTAACCTTTGTATTTGTTAGTAGTAGTTGGTATCTCCGCGGTTTAAGAAGACGGTCAAACGTCTCTGCATGTGGAACAATAAGTGTCTAAAGAGGCCGCCTGTCACGGTACTTTCAATCTAAACAAAAAAGGGGCCTATGTGTCTCTTTGACACAACGTTGGTAGGGGGGGTTGGGGAGTTGGGATATAACAAGATAGTCTGGTTTTATTCACTAAGTTGATAATGTAATTAGCCACCGTAAAGAACATTCAAAGTCGACCTTCGACCGTTAACCCCTCGTCACAGGAAATGGCTCTGCGTGTAAATCTCCGCGTTTTTAGAGATTACAACTTTCTGAGAAAGCTTGAAAAAAAAAAGGTAAAGTGTTTGGATTTAACCCACATCAAATAAGCTTGGTTGCTATAAAATCTCGAGTTTTCGTTTCCCTGCTTTTGATTCCTTCAACAGTTTTTTTTTGTGAACGTACGTTTCAATTCTTTTTTTCTTCTCGCGTTTTGTGCGACTCAGATTGCTGCTTATGTACTTCTTTGAAAATTGAACGCATGAGTTTAAGGTGCTGCCGGCGAAAATTAATCGATCTGCGCATACCCATTGATTAACGTCTGTGTTCTTCAACTGTTAGATTAAGCCCTCGTGTAGATTGCTTCACTTTAAAGCAAACCCATGTCTTGTCTTGATTCCAAGATGCAGACTGATGAACTTTAATCATAAATTATTCCCAAAGCACTGAATTTGAAAATAATGATAATCATGATATCAATACACACTTGGCAACAGCAATCGTGCCAAAGGTCTAGTAAAAGTTTTCAAATCCAACACGAACTCTTTTTTTATCCTTTGAAATCTTCCAGTTCAATGTGAAGCAGAGGACCATGAATATAGTTCATTTGGACGTACTTGTTTGGATTTGGAGTACGGCCTTCCTACAGATAACACTCCAGGATGCCACTGCAAAAACGGTCTTTACTGGAATGAATACAAGAAGGCGTGCGTTCCAAAGGACAAGTGTGGATGCATCCACGAAAAAGCATATTATGAAAAAGGCGAATCTTCACCGTTGTCTTGTTCAATGTAAGTACTAGTATGTCAAAGGTAGGAGGTGGGAAAATAACGACAGAGGGGTACATGTAATGAAAAGTCTGCCTTGTTATTTTCAAAAGGCTTTGCTTCATGTCACCATGTGTTGGATCATTTCTGGTGACGCATGTAAAAAACTATTTAAATAGAATCCAATCAAATTGTTATAAATATTGTAAAATATTATTTAGATGCTCAAAAAGGAATAGATTCCTAGCCATTTCTTTTAATTGTAACGACTGATTTTTTCGTTCCCGACAGGAAATGTTCTGGTGCACGAGAATGGATAACTGATCCAAGCATTGATCCCCTGCCTGAATACGAATGCGCTGCGTTTGGTCAGGAGCAGTATCGAACATTTGACGGCATGTGGGTCACATTTAAGAGCGGTGAAAACTGCGAATACACACTCATGCGGATAAAGAACACCAAAAATACGGTCAGCGTGTCAAACGAGGCATGCTTGGAATCACTGGAGCTGCAAATGTGCAAGAAAGTACTCATCGAAACAAAAGAAGGATCAATCGAACTTTTCCAGAGGAAAATTACAATTGCTACCGCAGGATCATCTACACAATATGTGCCAGGGACCTACCCTGAACCATGCACCAGAAGCGCATTAGACAACGCGGAGATTTTCAGCAAGGGGTTATTTATCATCGTGCGTGTGTTCAGCCCCTACGATCCTTTCAAGCCCTTGTTTGAGGTTTGTCAAAAATTTTTTACCTTATGTTCCTTTCTTATTATAGGTTTCAATGCTTTTTCTTCTTCATTATGTCCGGAGTAATACACAGGGATGGTTTCAATAATATCCAGTTTCCTGCGCTCTTCCGCAGGTCCTAAGGCCTATTAATGCCGTCGGTTTAGATTTTTATTTCCAAGATGTCTTGGTCGTTTCGTAATGGCAGCCACCTATTTCACCCCGGGCAGTCAATCATAATTGGAATTCGGAATTCCAGATTGGGGATCAGAAAAACTGAGGATATTAGAAATTGAAGGTTGAATTTCAAAAAAAGCTGCAAAATGGCATTTAGCCCATTCGCGCATTGCTGATGATTCTGAGTTGGAACCCGATGGCCATTTAGGATAACAAACCATAAGCTATCAGCAGCTAGTTCATTATTCGAAAAGATTTGACAGGCTGTGGGGTGAGACAATAATGTAGAATGTGGGCATCACTGTATTCGACGACTTAAAGCTCTGATATTACCGTTACATCACAAATTTGAATTTGTTTACCCTCCTTCCCCTACTACAGGTGAAATACGACAAAGGTAACCGAGTTTTCATTACCCCTAACAAAAAGTTCAAAAATCAAAACAAACTTGAAGGAATTTGCGGTAACTTCGATGGAAAGAATGGGAATGATAAAATCCTGAGGAATAATGAAACCCTGGGAAAGAATGAGCTCATAACAACGAGCAACAAAGATTTTGTTGATGATTGGAGGAATAATGAAGATTGCGATGGTATTGCGGAAGAGACTAGTTTCATGGAGGTGTGCGACCTCTACTCCGACCGAAAGAGTTGGGCCTATAAAGGTGAGTTAAATGGTAGTTTTAACTTAAAATTGACCAGCGTTGACCAGGAAATTCACTCAGGCTAAGCATTAACCGCACTCTGATAAAAGAAGAACTCAGAGCTCGGAATAGCTATTTTTTGCAAGCCATGCTTAGGCAATCAATAGTGGTATCCCTAAATTGCTACAGCCCTTATCTCTGGTTTCCCATGGATCAAGTACTTGTTGACTGCTGATTCCTTCGAGTTCACTCTACAATGAAGGAGTACATTTAGATGCAATTAGATAAACAACTAGCTATTTCACACCCTTTTGGTAGTAAGACCTATTGTCTATTATGATACAGCAACGATTTTCGAATGAACAGTGAAACAGAGGCAACAAAAATGAATCCAAAAGTTGAGAATTATCGGAAAAGTATGAAGTGATTCACAAGGTTTTTCAAACATAACTGTCCAGTTTTCCACAGAACAGTTTTACAGAGACGCTAAAATTTGGTAAGTACTATTTGAAAAAATTAGTATTATCCAAATTAGAGCGATTTTCGATTTAATATCGTAAGAATGACACCAAAATAATAACAAAAGGCCAATCCAAAAAAAGGAAAATACCGCAAAGAACCAATAAAAACAAAAGGTATCAACAAAATCAGCTGCTTAA